GCTGAGTGAGGCATTGTGCTGACCCCCATCTTACTTTTATTTTTTTTAATGTATTTCCGTGTATAAATATCTGTGCATTCCATCTCTTATCAGATAACTATGCATAAAAATCAGATTTCGGTATGATCTTTTTAATTTTTAAAAACTTTTAAAATATAGTTAATTATTTAAAGGTTAGAGTGACAGAGAAATTAAGAAGGAGGGAAGAGACAAAGAGAGAGAGAGATCTTCCATTTGTTGGTTCACATGCCAAATGGCTGCACAGCCAGGGCAGAAAAACAGAAGCCAGAAGTTGCATCTTTGCCTTCACATGGCTGGTAGGGGCACAGGTACTTGGGCCATCTTTCAGTGCCTTCCTAGCCACATTAGAGGGATACCAGACCAGAAACCAAACAGCCAGGACTCAAACTGGCACTCTGATATGGCATGCCGAAGTTGGAAACAATGGCTTAATTAGTTAGGCCACATCAGCCCCTGGTGTATGTATAAATTATACTGACATTGAAATGCATTGCTGTTAGGTGTACCATTTGCTGAATTTTGACAAATTTAGCTCAGGTTTCTATCAAGTGACAGGATACTTCCATTTCCCCTGCCCCTTCCCAGCCAATTCCCATTTATAGCCATCCAAAGGCAATTAAAGGGGATTTTTTTTTTCCCTCCATGGATAGACATTTCATATTCTAGAACTTCAGATAAGTGGAACTATATAGAATGGCTTCCGTTGTGTCATCATTGCGTGTTACCAGTGGTTTTTCCTGTTTTTATTTGTGTAGTATTCTATTGTATGACAGTGCCACAACTTTGTTTATTCACTTGCTTGTTCATGGGCTATTATGAAAATATTTCTTACAAATATTCTTATCCAAAACTTTTTTTGGTCATATGTTTCCTTTCTCTTGAATAAATAAATGGAATTGGTATTGCTGGGCCAAAGAATGCTTTGTTTTATGAGAAACTCCCAGACATTTGTCCAAATTGTTTGTAGGTGGTAAACTTTTGAAAGAATCATTTTTGTGTGGGTAGGTAGTATGATCACATGGTTTTAATATTCAAGCCAGTTTTTAAAAAATTTGACAGTGAACATACTTTTCTCCCACACAATTTTTTACAGTCCTCATTTCCCCAACAAATAACAAATATTCTTAGTTTTTTCATTCTTCGAATTGTTTTTCTACATTTACAAAACAACAAGTGGTTCCAGTTGCTATCGTCTGTTGGTACTGGAATAAAATTGAGAGAGGTCATAAAAAAAAGGAAGACTTTTGTTTGACAAAGGGCAAAATATTTGGCCCAGCTCGGTAGCCTAGTGGCTAAAGTCCTCTCTTTATATATGCTGGGATCCCATATGGCCACTAATTCATATCCCGATTGCTTCACTTCCCATCTAGCTTCCTGCTTGTGACCAGGGAAAGCAGTATAGGATGGCCTAAAGCCCTGGGACCCTGCACCCAAATGGGAGACCCAGAAGGAGCTCCTGACTTGGGATTAGGTCTGCTCTGCCTGTTGTGACCACTTAGGGAGTGAACCAGCATATGGAAGGTCTTTCCTTTGTCTCTCCTTCTCTGTAAATCTGCCTTTCCAATAAAAATACATTAAAAAAAAAAAAAAGCAAAATGATATCGTCTTGACTTTAAACCATATAAATAATTAATTCATGTCAAAATCATAGGTATCATGACTAGTGCTGTGGCACAGCAAAATAAGCTTCCAGCTTGCAACACTGGCATCTTATATGAAGCACTGGTTTAAGTCTTAGCTGTTCTGCTTCTGATCCAGCTCCATGATGACACCTCTGGGGAAAAAGAGCAGAAGACGGCCCATGTGCCTGGGGTCCCTGTCATCCACATGGCCTACCAGGATGGAGTTCCTGGCTTCTGGCTCCTTTTGCCCTGCTGTTGGAACCATTTGGAGAATGAACTAGCAGATAGATGAAAGATTTTCTCTGTGTCTCTCCCCTTATCTTTGTTGCTCTGCCTTTCAGATAAATAAATAAATAAATAAATAAATAAATAAATAAATAAATAAATAAATAAATAAATAAATCTTTTTAAAAAGAATCATATGTGTTGTATTTAAGAGGTTAATTTTTAAAGATTTATTTCTTTTTATTTGAAAGGCAGATTTACAGAGAGAAGGAGAGCCTGAGAAAGAAGGTATTCCATGTGCTGGCTCACTCCCCAGTCACAGCAACAGGAGTTGAGCTGATCCAAAGCCAGGAGCTAGGAACCTTTTCTATGTCTCCCATGTTGGTGCAGTGTTTTAAAAGCCTTTGAGCCATCCTCTGTTACCGTCCCAGATCATAAGCAGGAAGCTGGATGAAAAGTGGAGCAGCCAGGACTTGAATTGTTACCCATATAGGAGCCCAACACTTGCAGGTAGAGAATCAGTCAGTTGAGCTATCACACTGGGTGAGCATTTGAGGCCAGATTCTTAGAGATTCAAAGGCCTGCGCGAAGAGTGGATTATGCCTTGGCGTATATAATCAGCTAAAGCAGAGAAAAACAAACAAGCAGAAGGCTTCAATCTCTTAATTTCTAAAATTCTGCTCTTTCTAATGGGGGCAGGAAGCTGTGGTAATGGAATAAAGAGTTACAGAACTTTGGGTCAGAAAACCCCAACTTCAGACTAAGCAAATTCAGGCACTTTCTCTATATCTGGCCTTGCAGAAATAACTTGGCCTCCTTGTACCTCAGTTTCCTCATCTAGGAATGGAAAATAATAATCTTTCTTAGGGAATTGTTACGGTTAAATGAATTAAGTTTTGTAGGGGTGCCAAAAATGTTAGCAAAGTTCAAATTATGTCCAATAAAAAGGTATCAAATTAGTCAAGGAAGTAAAAATATCAAATACATTTCAGTTCTTTATAAAACAATTCTAGAAAAAGCTGGAAGGAAGCAGGTATTTGTTGGTGTTAAGCAAAAAATAGGACGGTCCTGTCAAGTTGCTGCTGAGGAAGTCATGTGCTTCGGTTCGGTTTCAGCTTCCAGTGAATGGGCAGGTGTCCTTGGCCTGGCCGTGTTAGGTGCTCAAGCGTTCAGCAGGCAAGGGGTTGGTGGGCACCTGGACTAGGGAACACTAACAAAAGTGTGGTTCCTGCAGAGAAAGCATAGGATGCTATTGCTAGAAAATGGGGCATTGGTTCCTGGGTAGACATAAACATCAAGAGAGTTGCCTTGAGCACTGTGTAAATGGGAGCATCCTCTGTGTACTTGTAATTGATAGCAGATGCAGAGGAGAATACTTTTAAGAGTCACTAAGGCTAGCATAATTGGGAATTAAGGGCGGGAGAGAATAACAAAAAAATGGTTTGGAAATAGCTGTGCTTGTCCATTACTCAAGTTTATCATTGGAAAGCACTTACATAATACTTCCCAAATGCCCATTAGCTGTAGAATGGGATATAAATTGTGTATTCATACAGCAGACTTCACAAAATTAGAAAAGACCATCTCAACTACACATAAGCATATGGAGTGACTCTCTTGAGCATAGTATTGAAATGAAGATGGATAAGGAATTCATACCAGATGCTTCCACTTACAGAAAGGACAAAAACAGGCAAAAAAAAAAAATCACTTTGTTTTTAGGAGTCATTGATTACAACCATCAAGAATTGTGAGCAGAGATGTGAAAGCTATGTACATAGACTGGTACAACATTTGATAATCACATTGTCGTGTTTGGTCCATTAAAATATAACTCATTTTTTAAAACTAATCAGTGATTACCGTGGAGAGGTTAAAATCGTCATAGGAAGGAAGCAGAGAGATCCTAGGAGCTAGCCATCTTCTCTACTTTCTGTGTTAGCACTAGTATGGGTGCTTTCACTTTGCAAGACCTCATTTGCCTCTTATATGTGGACTTTGCAATCATGTATAGTGTACGTAAAATTTAAAAAGCTTAACTTTTGACATATGTTAAATGTTCCCTCCCAGTAGATATTATATGCTGAGTAGGTTAGGGGAGGAAGCAAATCATGCGAATGTGGTACTCTTTCTAAAATGCTCCTTTCCTGTACTTGTAGCTGTCAACAGCTTCTATAAATATGCTGAAACTTTCAGTGAATTCTGTTGATCATGCTGAGATTTCATTATTATCTTCTTTAATAAACCAGAGAAAATATATGTCAACTTAGAGAACATTCCTCATGGTAGGTAGTGTTGATGGGATAATTTTCTATATCTGGAAATGACCATGACATTGTTTTGTAAAGAACTGCAATGTGTTTGGTATTTTTACTTCCTTGATTTCCTACTGTTTTCTTATATAACACACACACTTTTTTCTTTTTTTTTTTTTTTAACATACAGACTTATTTTTAAAGAAAATTTGATGTCCATTAAGATTAAAGAAAAGGAGGACTATAGGATATTTTTGAGGGACATTTTTACTTGGTAGGAATGTTATTTCAACCACTTTGTAGTCTTAACTTTGTGTGTGTGTTTTTTTAAATGCTTATGTATGTATTTTCATCTACTCAAAAGGCATCCCAGCAGGGGGAGAGATTTATCAAGTACTGGTTCACTACCCAAATGCCCCCAACAGCCAGGATGGGCCAGACCAAAGCCAAGAGCCAGACTTCATCAGGTTGTCCCACATGGGTGGAAGGACCCTGAGTGCTTTCCATCATCATCTAATGTCTTCCAGGATGCATCAGTCAGGATACTGGACTGGAAGTGGAGGGGCTGGAAGTGGAGGGGCTGGGCTGCTGCCTACCATGGGATACGTGCCTCCCAAGCGGCAGTGTAACCAACCACTTCCACTCTTACTTATGTTTGAATGCGTGTGAGTGTACATGGTGAGGATTTATGGTCCCAAAGAAGGGTTACTGAAAAGGTAAGTGACTCAATGGGTAGCCAAGATGCCCGTGATCTAATAGCATCGCTTATGGTGTACACAGTGTCATTGAATTATAGTTTAAATAAGCATATTGTTGGTGGCGGGCCCTTCAGATCTTCCAGGGAAAATTATGTATTTTTGTTTGTTTGTTTTGGCAGATTCTGTCGTTCCTGTATTGCTACCAGTCTAAAGAACAATAAATGGACCTGTCCTTATTGCCGGGCTTATTTGCCTTCAGAAGGAGTTCCAGCAACTGATGTAGCCAAGAGAATGAAATCAGAATACCAGAACTGCACCGAGTGTGACACCCTGGTGTGTAACCTTGCATTTGTTTGTACTTACTTGCTTAAACCCCTGTTTTTGATCTAACCCTATCCATTTTGTCTTTTGCTTTTTAAAAAGATGAATTAACTTACCCATTCACTTTAATTTTATTTGCAAGGCAGAGAAACATACAGACAGAAGTCTGCCATCAGCTGCATCACATCCTAGGGTCTATTTAAGAGGTACAATTGAAGGAAATTGGTAGCTGTCTGGATATGGGGGTGAGGGAGGATCAAAAATGTCCCTTTAGGTCCTGATGTGCTGGGGATGGGTGGTATTGCACAGTGCCTTCCCATCCCACATGGCAGTGCCAGCTCCAGGACTGAGATCTCCATGTTCTTGTTAATTCATCCAAGGAGGCAACAGATGATGGCCCAAGTGCTTGGGTCCCTACCACTCACATGGAGACCCGCAGAGAATTCCAGGCTCCTAGCTTTGCCTGCCACAGCCACGGCTATTGGAGGCATTTGGGAAGTGAACCAATGAGTGGAAGCTCTATCTGTATCATTTTCTTCATCTCTACGCCTTCCGAGTAGATGAAAACAATAAGCAAACAAATAAACATTTGAGTGTCCTAATATGGGAAGCAAATTTGGAGAAGAATTCAGAATTAACTTGTGGCTATGTTAACTTTGAGCTGAGAGGAGATGGGAGGGGGTTTAGATAGATATGCTGGTCTCGAAGCCAAAAGATATTATGTAGTGAGCATCTAAACTTCTCTGGAGAAATTTTCCTGATGATTCATCTAAGTTACAACCCTGGGATGCATTTTTTATTTCCTGTGCTTTCCCTGTACATCACTTATTATCATTTGTAATTAAGCTTTTGCGAGGCTTTCATTTAATACTTGATTATTTTCATCAGAATTGAGTTCCACAAGTGTGTCCATTTTATTGGTAGCATTGTACTTAACACTGAAAAGTAACTGGGGTGGGAGTGGGGAGAGTCTATGTTAGTAAAAGCTCAGTGATTTTTTGCATTCATGGGCACTTGGCTGTAGAATTTATGCATGGTCTTTAGAGTTAGATATCATGTTATCAAACACTAACTCTCTCACTCCTTGTGATTTGGGGCAAGTTATTAACTATTTTTTCTTTATAAAGTAAGGGAAGGGCCCAGCACAGTAGCCTAGTGGCTACAGTCCTTGCCTTGCATGCACCGGGATCCCATGTGGGCGCCGGTTCGAATCTTGGCAGCTCTACTTCCCATCCAGCTCCCTGCTTGTGACCCAGGAAAGCAGTCAAAGATGGCCCAAAGCCTTGGGATCCTGTACCCAAGTGGGAGACCCGGAAGAAGCTCCAGGCTCCTGGCTTCTGATCAGCTTACCTCCAGATGCTGTAGCCATTTGGGGAGTGAATCACTGTACAGAAGATTTCCCCCACCTCCTCTCTGTATATCTGACTTTCCAATAAAAATAAATAAATCTTTAAAAAAATGAGGGAAGAGATAATGTTCATGTTACTGGGTGGTTGTGAAGGTAAATTTTATCTGTTAGGCTTTTAGCCTATTGTCTGGAACATGATAAACACTTTTTACATTCTTGGTAATCTATTTTTATTCTTATTTAGATTTCTGTCATCATACAAAATTCATCACACACAAAATCAGAGTCATTCTGTCTGTCATCCAGTTCTTCATCCCACTTCTGTTGTCTGTCAAGTAAGAGCATTTGCTCCATTATTGTAGGTAGGGAAAAGTTTTATTACTCTCACAGTCTAAGGATTTGAATTTCTGTTTTCCTTAAGCTACTTCTTTTATCTATTTCTTCCTTTCCATGTCATTCTTCTTGTTAGAAAGGTTGCCCATTCCTCTTACAACCATTATGGGTTTGACTTGTTTTTTAAAGCCAAACTTTTGTTTCTGAGCCCTTTCCTACTAACCCAGACCCCTGCATCAGGTCATTTCTATCCCCCTGTGTACACGCCACTTCCTTTTCCCTCTATTTGGTTGTAAGTTCCAGGACAGCATGCACAGTGAACCTTTCCTTTGCCTCCTCCTATTTATAATGTCTCACAAACTTGTGTGTCCTGACCATGAATTTGTCAAGCTATTCCATTTCTAGCCACAGATTTGTGTGTTGAACAAGGAATACAAAGAGAACGAAGCATTTACTAGTAGACGTGGTCAAGACATGGGGGACCCAGTATGTGCAAAGTTGAAAGGCTGTTTATGACTACCCCTTACATTTTACATCTTTTAGATATTCTTAAAGTGAGGATTTGGGTTTTAATTTTTTACCTTATTTTTGCCTTTTGTTAAACAAACAGAACTGTTTTTCTTGATGTGGTCAATTTTGTGTTTGAGGTTTAACTTCCGCAGCTTGAGCAGAATTAAGCAAAGTAGGCTGGCTGTCTTACCACAGCTCTACAAAGCTTCCTTTAGTACAAGATCTTATCAGAGTTTCTAATGAAACATTTAGTAGAATATGTGCTATGTTAGCAATAGATCCCTCCTGGTGAAGCTCTCTGAATGTATATCTGAAGGAATAGGGGCTCTTTATTCTGCACTGTTAAAAATGAACTGCCAGAGCTGTCTTTTATGTTTGCTCTTAATGGAGCCATTAAGTATATTGTGTATTGTGAATTCATGTCATACTGGGTACATTATAAGACCATGGTGTTTATCTTTGCCGAAGGCACAGGGGTTCTATTAACTTACTGTGGACATCTTTATCCATTTATTCTTATCTCTTTTTGTTTTCCTTATTTTTGTTTTTCCTTCTTAAATTTTTTTTCCTTTTTTCATTCCTCTTACCCTTTTCTTCACCTCATTTCTTTCTTTAGCATGCACAAAATGCAGATTTTGAGTTTGTACCCATTGTTCCATTCTAACATATATACATCTATTTTAAAAGAATCAAGTTCAAGAACTCAAATTTGGGTCAACTAAGTACTGCAGAAATTAAAAATGGGTTTATTTCTGATGATGCCCTAACAATGTGATACCACAGTCATGAATGCATCCATTTAAGTAACTGGCCAGCCCGCAGTATGACCTTCTTTTAATCGTATAAAGCCCCTTTTCAACAGTGAGTTTATTTTGCATTTGCTTTTCTGTAGGTTTGCCTCAGTGAGATGAGAGCACACATAAGGATGTGTCAGAAGTACATCGATAAGTTTGGACCACTGCAAGAACTTGGGGAGACAGCAACAAGGTTTGTTTTAGTACAATAGAATTTAATGCAGGAAAGTTTAGCAGTTATGGAATAATTTAAGTAGTTATGTTTAGGCATTTTGCCAGATAACTTGGTGTTGGTAATAACTTGTTAATAGCAATTGTTGTCATTGTTTACTTTAAAAACATAGGGGATCAACCACACACTGGGGAGACTGGGATGACTTCCCCAGAAAAATTGATGTTAGGAAAGACCCAAATATAGAATTGCAGAACTGTTAGATTTCTGCTAGGCTCTCTTTCCTGGCTGTTACATTCCTGAAGTAGGTCTTAGTTCATATATAAGCATATGGTAAAGATTTATTTATTTATTTGAAAGGTAAATAAATAGCAGAGAAAAAAGAGATCTTCTATCTACTGATCCACTCCCCAGATGCTCAAAACATCCCAGAAGCAGGTGTTAAATCAGAGTCCCCCATGTGTGTGGCAGGAACTCAAGTGCTTGGGATATCAGCCACTGCTGCCCAGAACACATTAGAAAGAAGCTGGATCGGAAGCATGGAGAGCCAGGGATCCCAAGCAGCAGCTTAATCCGCTGCTTGTAATATATGCTTTAAGACATTATTCATCTTTCGTCTTTAATACTTAGGTCCCCAGCTCATTTCCTCTCGTTTAGTAGGCAGGAAGTGGCAAGCATCTCAGATCCAGGCCAGGCATTCTGAAATTCTTGGCCTTTTGGTTGGTGGTCTTCTGTGGGGTTCAGGAAAAGAATGGAGGTGGCGTTGGTTAGTAGTTATTATCGATGAATAATTCCTTTTTTTTTTAAGAGAAAGAAACAAATCTAGTTTATTACTGTCCTGATGGGAAGAGTAATTACACAGTTTGGAGTCTGCCCCTAACAAAATAAAGAAATAATTTGTGTTCTCCTGCCTAGGCTGTTGACTTTGAAACTATTAAACCTGCTTATGAATTGAATTATCCAGTCTCAGTGCGAGTGTAGTGTTTTCCTTGCTCCTTAAGAAAGTTGCTTTTCTGGCCCATTTTAAGAAAATATAGCTTAAATTTTCTAGCCTTAGAATCAAAACGATCACCCTATTCCTTTTATTTTACCAGATTGCCTTGCAGATGTACCTGTTATTTTAGGATTAATTTTATACTATGACGTTACAAATTTTAAATAAATATTTTAGTTGTAAACAGAGTATGGATTCTGTTAAGAATGACCACAAGTATTGATGGGAAAAAAGATAGTGAGCAAATAAATAAAGTGTGGGTTTCTGGGATTGGGTCCGGCACTGTGGCACAGCGCTTTAAGCTACTATCTGCAGCATCAGCATTCCATATGGGTGCCAGTTGAAATCTCAATTGCCTCACTTTTTTAAAAAAGATTTATTTATTATTTATTTTTTTATTTGAAAAGCAGAGTTATAGAGAGATTAGAAGAGACAGAGAAAGAGATCTTTCATTGGTTCACCCCCCAAATGGCTACAAGCCCTGCGGTTTGGCCAGGCTGAGGTCAGGAGCCAGGAGCTTTGCTCATTATCCCATGTGAGTGCCAGGGTCCAAAATTTTGGGCCATCCTCTACTGATTTCTTGGGCACATCAGCTGGGATCTGGATCGAACCTACTATGTCACAGAGCTGGCCCATGCTCCATTTTGCATCCGGCTCTTTGCTAATGTGCATGGGAAGCAGCAGCTCCTGGCTCGGCTTTGCCCTGTCCCAGCCCTGGCCATTTGGGGAGTGAGTCAGTAGGTGGAATATCACTCTTTCTTCGTCTCTCTCTGTTTTTCAGAACTCTGAGTTTCATATAAATAATTTTTTTAATTTAAAAGAAGTATGGGCTTTATGAAAACAAAAATATACAGCAGCTAATTTAACTCCTAGTTTTGAATAAAATAACAAAGAATTAACATAACAGATTTTGGGAGGGCTATTGTCTTAGATAAATATTTGCATTTAATATAGAAACATTAGCTTTGGAAAAGGATTTATTACATGATTCAAATCTTAATAACTGTTATGCTGGGAGTTTGTTTGGGGTCCACATCCTAGGGAACAGAAAATTACATCTGTATTGAAAAAGTAAGCAAGGAATTCCACTTATGAAGGCAGTCCTATCTAATTAAAGTATTGTGGATTGCTCTAAGATTTAAAATTTTCCATTAGTCACATTTCAAAAATGAAATGTACTTGTAACATATTTTATCTAATTTAACATAAACCAAAATCTGAACATGTAATCAATATAAAGATTATTGAGATATTTTCATTCTTCGTGGCGTTTTATTTCTTTTCTTTACATTAAATCTTTAATTTAATGCATATTTTATACTTCCAGCTTATGCCAGCATGTACTAACCACAGTTCAGTTACCCAATAAGAACATTAAACAGCTCCCATACAATACTTCTGAGTGTGCATTAGGATTTTTTTTTAAAGGCAGAATGACACAGAGAGAGAGGGAGAGGATGGGACAGAGAGAGGGCGATTGTTCATTTGCTAGTTCACTTCCCAAATGGTCACAATGGTCAGACTGGGCCAGGCTGAAGCCAGGAGCCTAGAACTTCCTGTGTGTTTCCCATGTGGGTGACACAGGAACAAGCACTTGCACCCATTTCCCACTGCTTTCCTAGTTGCATTAGTTGGGTTGGAAATGGAGTACGTGGAGCCTGAACCTTGAGCTCCAGTGACATGTGAGTGTCACAGGCAGGGATTTAACAAAGCAGTGGCAAGTCAGTTTCATTCTGCACTAGAAACTAAGGATGTGAGTTGACACCTCGACTTACATACTTACGTACTTGTGGATATCCAGAACAAACAACACCCAAGTCACATGTTATAGGAGTTATGACAGGAAGGAAGAGAAGAGGCCGATTAGGGACAGCTGATTATTGTGATTGCCCAGTTAACGGGTGATTACATTTCTTTTCCAAAGAGAATAAAGTACTTTAAGTGCACTGTTAACTGTTTCTCTGCCTAATCCCAAGGAAGCTGTCCACTGACATTTGTCAGGAGAAAGAAAAATTGAGGAACCAACGCAAATAATGCCAACTTAGAGTATGAGTTAGGAGCAGAAATCAGATACTGCCTCATTCTATTTTTTTAAGCCCCATTTATATGCCTACTGTCTGGTAGCTGGCAATGTGAATATCTGGGTTCTATGTGATTTCCAGGTGTGTATGCCCATTTTGTCAAAGGGAGTTGGATGAAGACAGCCTTCTGGAGCACTGTATTACTCACCACAGATCAGAAAGGAGGCCTGTGGTAAGGATTCTTGTTACCATGTATTTGAACACTGTCCGAATTCAGGATAGATTAGATGGCCCATTTAACAGATTTCCATTTATGGATCTATTATAAAGAACAATAACTTATTTTGAGGTTATGGTAGTTTTGTGTTAATGATATGTCAAAATGCTGAGTTGAAACTGACAAGAACTATTAATGTGCAATCACTCTTTCATTTATGAAATTACATATTATCTCCTACAGATACTCTTGGACACAATCAACTAAAGTGATACAAAATGCATGGATAAGATCTAATTTTAGTATACTAATAGCGATCCTATCCTAAGATAAAATATTTTTAATACAAAGTGTGTTATGACACTACAAGTGAAAGCTAGTCACTCATTTTAATTAATCTATTGTTTTATTTCCTAATATGAAATCTTAAACATATGCCTAGTAAATGTACATACTGCTCTTCCTTTACTAGATTTACTGGATTTATTGCCAGTGCTGCCTTCTGTTTTTACAATCTGGAATTGTAGTTCTATTTTACTGTGTGGTTTTATTTTTGCTTTTACTCTTTTAAAGATTTTTAAAAATTGTTTGAAAGACAGAGTGGCAGAGAAAGAGATCCTCTATCGCTTGTTTGGTTCACTCCTCAAATGGCCACAACAGTCAGGGCTGGGCCAGGCTGAAGCCAGGGGCCATGGACTCCATCCAGATCTCCCTCATGGTGCAGGTGTCCAAGTACTTGGGTCAACTTCTGCTGCTTTCCCAGGTACATGAGCAGGGATCTGGATTGGAAGTGGCACAGTGAGAATACTAACTGGAGCTCTTATATGAATTCAGCATTGCAAGCAGTGGCTTAGCCTAATGTGCTACAATGCAGGTTCTGTTCCATAGTTTTTATAATTAAAATTAGACACAGTCTATTTAAACAAATATATTTATTAATTTTCACTGAATTTGAAAGTCAGAGACACAGGGACATGGACAGGGAGAAATGTCTTCCATCGCTGCTTCACTTCCCAAATGCCTGCAAAAAGCCAAGCAACAGGAACTCGAAGTCTCCCATGTGAGTGGTAGGAGCCCAAATATTTGAACCATCATTGCTGCCTCATGTTAGTAGGAAGCTAATTAGGATTAGAGTTAAGAGTTAGACTCCGTGACTCCACTATGATTTGTGGGTATCCCAAGCTGCATCCTATTTTCATGTTCCTTAGAATTTTGAGACGAAACATTTGCTTAGCCATTTTACAATTAAATATCTTTAATTTATTTGTGAGGCAAAGAGACTGACAGTGCTCCCATCTGCTAGTTCACTCTCCAACGTGCAGGAGCCAAGTCAGTCCAGCTGTGCCATCTGTGATTGGCAGTGGGACTGGGACTTGAACCCAGCTCTTCTGATAGGGGGTGCAGCTACCCTCACTTGGTTTTGACTGCTATAACAAATGCTTATTCCTATTTTGCTGTTTTTTTTTTTTAAGATTTATTTTTATTGTTTTTTTTATTGGAAAGGCGGATATACAGAGAGGAGATACAGAGAGGAAGATCTTCCGTCCGATGTTTCACTCCCCAAGTGAGCCGCAACGGCCAATGCTATGCCGATCCGAAGCCAGGAGACTCTTCTGGGTCTCCCCACGCGGGTGCAGGGTCCCAAAGCCTTGGGCTGTCCTCGACTGCTTTCCCAGGCCACAGGCAGGGAGCTGGAAGGGAAGCGGAGCTGCCGGGATTAGAACCTGCGCCCATATGGGATCCCGGGCGTGCAAGGCGAGGACTTAACCACTTGCGCCACCGTGCCGGGCCCTATTTTGCTGTTTTTGAGCACCAGAATTAGGAAAGTTTGAAGTCATATCCTGGCAATTAAAAAAATTATTTACTTATTTTTCATTTCACTTGAAAAGCAGAGAGAGGCAAAAGGAGACTTTCCTGAAACAGTCAGTACTGTGTGAGGCCAACACCAGGAGCCCAGAACCTGATGGATGGCAGGCTTTCCTGTTCTTCAGCCGTCCCCTGGAGTCTTCCAGGTTGCACATCAGCAGCAAGCTGGATTTGAAGCAGAGGAGCTGGGTCTTTGACCCCGAGACTCTACTTAACCACTACATCATACACCCACCCAGTATCCTTGTGCATTTATACTTCCCTTTTGTATTCTTTTTTCCCTAAGAAGAAATTTCTTAGATCAAAATACAGACTTTTTAATAGTCCTTGAAATATACTTCTAAATGTTTCCCAGGAATATTGCATTAACTTATATTTGTGTCAGCAAGCTTGAGTTAGTTTATATTGGTGTCAGTGGTTTATGGATAAACTATTTTCATCTTAAATTGGCCATAATTAGGTATATTTGTTTTAAAATTACTGTGGCTTAATATATATAACATGGTACCTTAAAGTTTTTGTTTTTGTTTTTTTTTAAAGAAGACTCATCTATTTATTTGAAAGGCAGAGTTACAGAGAAAGAGAGGCAAGGGGAGAAAGATTATTTGTCTGATGATTCACTCCCCAAATGGCCCCACTAGCTGGGCTGGTACAGACTGAAGCCAGGAACCTGGATTCCATACGTATCTCCCACATGGGTGGCAGACACCCAAGCACCTGGGACATCTTCCACTGCTTTTCCAGGCACTAACATGCTAATGCTCAAGGAACTATATAGGAAGTGGAGCAGGCAGGGCTCAAACTGGTGCCCATATAGGATGCAGGTAGCAACTTAATGTGCTATGCCACAATTCTGGCCCTTAGAGATTATTTGGAATATTATCTTTGTGTGGTATTATGCACAACACGTATATGTAAATATGTATGCACATATGTAGTTATACAAACATGAGTGTTGTTTTATATATATTCATATGATTCTTGGAAAATTGATCAATTCAAATTAATTTATAATTTTATATTTTTATATTTTTTTATTTAAAATTATACCCTGTGAAGGTAATCCCTCTTAATGAACCTGGGAAGTAAAACAAGTATGTGAGCCTCTGCATGTGGGAGACCCAGGTAAAACTCCTGGCTCCTGGCTTTGGCCTGGCTAGCCTGGGTGCTTATGGTTATCTCATGAGTGGGAGATCTCCTTCTCCCTCTGTAGCCGTGCCTTTCAAATAAAATAAATCCTTTAAAATATACATATAAGATTATACCACATAAAGAGATAATAATCCTGGGCCCAGCGGCGTGGCCTAGTGTCTAAAGTCCTTGCCTTGAACGCGCCAGGATCCCATATGGGCGCCCGTTCTAATCCCGAGAGCTCCACTTCCCATCCAGCTCCCTGCTTATGGCCTGGGAAAACAGCCGAGGACAGCCCAAGGCCTTGGGACCCTGCACCCAAGTGGGAGACCTGTTAGAAGTTCCTGGATCTTGACTTCGGATCGGCATAGCATCGGCCTTTGCGCTCACTTGGGGAGTGAATCATTGGACGGAAGATCTTCCTCTTTGTCTCTCCTCCTCTCTGTATATCTGAATTTCCAATAAATAAATAAATCTTTAAGAAAAAAAAAAGAGAGATAATAATCCTGTCAGAAGACAATTGTTATCCCCATTTCATAAATAATAAACTGATGCTCAGAGAGGTTAATAAGATAGCCAGGGTCACAGAACCAGTGCGTAACAAAGCAGAATCTGAACATACTAGTCTAGTTACTGTATGGTGAAGCCTGTGGTCTATAGCAAGTTACAGAGAGAAGCCACACTAGCACACATGATAAGGTACTGATTCTAATGGCCTAGGGGGTCGGGGTCCTGGGACAGCAAGGTAGGAACCTGAAATATGTTGAGTGAGCAGGGAGATTGTCATAGGCTTTTCCTACTCCGGGTGCTCTGCAGAAGGAACTGGGATAGCAAGTTGTTCTATTATAGGTCCCTGGGGAGCAAGAGGAAATTAGAAGAAAGCATTAGGATGGAATAATAAAGGTTATCATTTACTGAATTGTAAGTGCTTGCTTGTCTCCTCTTAGCAAATCTATAAAGACTGCGTTATTGACCCAGAATGAGCCCTGCTTCCTAAAAGTGCCCAGTCTCCTGCTCTGGCTTCAGCAACCTGGGGCCGGTCACAGCTTGTCAGTCTGTGGGGACTGTGCTGCTGTAGCAGGAATACAGTCAATGTGCTGCAGAATTTGGCCATCCAACTGAAGTGAGGTCTTCCACAATTCATCTGTCATCAAGGTCATTGAGGAAGGCTGACCTACGAGCAGAAATAAAATCTAGGGGAATGGTAGAGTCACACTGCCCTTGAAATTTAGTTAGATTCTATGCTTTGGTTCAAATTCCAACCCGTCTATATTACCTTATCCTTGTTTCTGTTTTATCATTTGTAAAATGGAGATAATAATGACTTTAATATGATATCTTTAAGCAGAGAGTAGTAATTAGGCATATAAATCGAGTACTCTATGCCACTCAGTGCCTACTCCCTAAATGAAAGAGGGTGGCGGTGGTGATGGTGGTAGATTACTACCAGTTTTGCATGCAGAGCTGGGGACAAGGGGGTTTGGGAAATAAAGTGATAAAATTTCACCACAAAGACTAGGGTGCTATTATGGCTTGAGACAGGAGCAGAAATCCATGCTTCTATTTTACCCTTGGTCATCTAGAAATAGGAACAGAAGCTCTTGGGGTTTCCTATGAATGGCAGCTGAAGGATCTTAGAGCCACAAGAAGTCATGAGATGCCCCATGGGGTCTATGTGGCCTAGCTGACAGATCACCCAGACATCCCAAACAAACATGGACTGGTTTGGTGTGAAAGTTACCAAGGAATTACTGTGATTTAGGATGGTTGGTTAGGGGAAGCAGAGGAACAGAGAGGTAGAAAAACCCACAGCTCCCATTGGCTCATTCACTTCCCAAATGTCCAAAAGGGCTGCAGCAGGGAGACGGGAATGCAGTCTTGGTCTCCCACATGGATGAAGGGATCCAACCACCGGAGCCATCATCTGTGCCTCTCAGGGCTCATGCTGCTGGGAAGCTGCAGTAAGATGCTGAAGCAAGGAACTGAGGTGTGGGCATACCAACCTGCCAGCAGTTAAG